GGTGTGCTCGAAAAGTGGGCTCCTTCTCCATCGCCGCGCTGCGGCTGAACTTGGACGGCTCGACAACTTTTACGATAGCCAGACGATCGCGCTCGTAAAAAAAATTCAAGTCTGGCGACCCTCGGAGTGGATAAAAAAGTTTTCATCGGGCCGACCGAAAGTTTAGAGCCGGCATCGCGATACACACGCGTAGAGTACGTCCAAAGAAAGACTGCGGGTAGAGAGCATCACTTTTATTCGATCGCGCCGCTCCTTGGAGAGACGAACTTTATTCGCTAGGACTATTGCGCCGGAAAGTTCGCCGCGATTGTTAGGATCTCACATGGCGGTATCGTGACGGGCGAGTCGGACGGTAACGAGGACGAGCGGACGCGCATGATGCGCCTTCGAAACGAATATATTTTTTTTTCCTCCGCGAAGAGCATATTTTTCATGAAAAACACGAATATTTCTGGAATACAGTATTTTTTTATGTGACGCTATGCGCTTTTCGAGTAAAAGTTTACACAGAGCTGCAACCAACTTTTTTGGAGGCATCGTATAAATCTGGAATTGTTAAAGATACGGGCAACGGGGGAAAAAAAAATACCAAAACGCACGGTCAATGCACTCTTCATCGCGCGTGTACCGTAACGCGTACAGCTTTATGCTTCTCTAAAAACCGTATTGATAGCCTGCATTTAGCATCGAATGTGGTCGCTCGATTCTCAGTTTATGATAACATACGGTTCTCGCGCGCTCGACATGCAGAATGTAGGACACAAGTGGAAAATAATGGCCATACATGTGAAAAAAATTTAAATCATAATTTAAGCGGAAAAATATATAAAAAAAAAAACGAATATAAATTAATGCACGATGTAATTTGCGGAGTAATTAGAAAAACTGCGACAAATTGCTGATACGAAAAAATAATTTCTCAGAAAATCTAAACGCAGTCCACGTCAATTAATTTTTCGCATTATAGAGTTGCTTTAACTTTCCTCGCCTCTATTATAGCATCTTGAATGGCATTGTTGCAGTAATTGCGTCGCCGTTGTGCACTACACACTGTTTTATTTGAGTAAATTGTTATACACAGCTTCAGCACGAAATGCAACCAAATAGGGCTTCATAATAAATTGTTTCGCGATATTTTGCACGCCGTTTGTGCCGTAGCTAAGACTTGCAACTATTAATTTTATCTTAATTTATATCTTGATTCTTAATTTTAAGTAATAAAAATGTAAATAAATCTTGACAAATTGTGCACATGCACATAATTATGACAATATTTAAACATGCTTATTTAATCATGCACCGCGCATTGTTTCTATAAAGAAAATTTCATATAGCTACAAAATCTTATATTTTTTTTTAGATAAATTGCATAATATTTTTGAGATCTTACAACTACAAATAATATATAGAAAACGAAGCCACTCTTGTGCATCTGATTGTGAGAACTGATGCGTAAAATTATTTGCATCTCCACGCAATTTTACGTGCCATACGTGACAAAGTTGCACATCTCGATTATACTTCCACTTCACTTCGCCGTATCTCTTTTTATTACAAAAATAACAAAAGCATAAGGTTTATACCAGTCAACTTCGAGTCTTGATATTTGATACACAACACTCCACATGTGGTTGACCGCAGAAATATTTATGACACGGTGTTGGATTTGCATTTTTATTTCTTATTGTTTTTGCCGGGGCAAGAAATCTCTTTACATCGAGCAAGTAAAGAGACGTGATCTTGGAATATCTCATAAAATATATTCAATAAAAAACTACTTTCAACCAATTTTCTTCGTAAAGGTGTACAATTTGCGTGCGAAGCATTTTTAAAACGTTTTAAAGTTTTAATTAATAATTGCATTTAAGAAGAATGTCAAAGGTTCTCTAACTCATTCATAAAAGTCATCACGCTGAAGGTAAGGAAAAAAATCTCATCTACTCAATGAGAAACTATCAATTTCTTCAAGCTATCCTCCATCCTTTTCCACCTGAGATTTTGCAGTAGGTCGTGATCGTCATATCCATCGACATTTCCCCGTCTCCGTGAGTACAACTCTATTAAACTTTCAAAACTCCACGCGGGTGTCGCGCACAATGGCGCGAAGAAACGGCGTCGGCTGTGTCAGCAGGCCGCGAAGAATCAGGGCCTCCCCCACCCAGCCGCACCGCTCGTTCCAACCAAACTGTCACATACTTTCCGTATGGGATAAGCTTCAAAAATAGCAAGGAGCTAACCCGTGCGGGCAAAATAGGGGAGAACCCGGGAATGAAGCAGATGAGAGTGGGAGGGAGTGGGGTCACGAGGGCGGGGAAAAAGGTTAGGAAATGGGAACGACAAGCAGGAAGAGAAAAGACCCGAAGACAGTGCCGGCTACCAAGGGACTCATCGTATGTGAGCGTTAGACGCGCATGTATTTATTGGGGCTGGCGTCTCTGTGTTAGTGCTTTAGCTTTCGGTCGTTATGGCGGCACGGCATACACACACACACACACATACACACGAACGCGCGCGCACTAGCACGGCACCGCGAGCGTACAATGAGGGCTCTGCGTCAACCCTTAGCGAAGGGCTGCGCCGGTGCAGGGGTTGCGCGATTTTATCTCCGGCATTCTTCTGCCAAAGGGGTCCACGACGAAAAGATCTACCTACGTGGCAGCGCGGTTTTTACGTTTTTCCTCGGGGTCTCGCACGCACGCACGCGTATGAGCGTTGCCTCGTGCTTGTAGATGCACATGTGTACGCGTGCACCGCGCACAATGGCGATTCAGCGTCGTCCCACGGCCTTTTAAACAAGCTGAGGAAATCTTGAGATGCGTCCTCGTCCCCGCGCGCGACGCGACAACGTTGGCGAGTTAAGCCCTAATCCCACCCTTCCACTCTATCTTTTTCTTCTCTCTCCTTTTTTTTTTTTTCATTCCCGCCGCACCTTCCCGTTCCGCCGTCTATTAAGCGTCCTTTTCAATTCTGCCGGCGACATTCTCCTTACGGAGCACAAATATCGCCCGAGCGGATCAACGATTAGATCTCATCTGATTAGTTCTGGGAGTACATTGAAGGCTTAAGGGATGTACGCGCGTTCGTTTCCGTGAGTTCCGTCGCGTTCACCCGAGTCGATGAAGATAACTGGCCAGGTAGCGAGTGTTTATTGTCTGGGAGCAACGGACAATAGGGGAGAATGTACTGATGCCTGCGACTGCGCCTTTAATTGTTCGCTATTGTACATACATACACGGAATGACAAGATGCGACCGGCATCCTTCAAGCTTAAGCCTTTTCACCAAAGGATTTCCATTCTTGAAAAGCAGATTTCGACGAGAGATTTCGAACTTTCTCACTACGATAAATTTTTTTATATATTTAATTATTTTGCTTAAATATAAGATATAAAGTATAAAAAAAATATGGCTTGATTATTTAAAATTTAATATTCGCAGCAACGGCACTTTGCGTTTGCAATTCCGCATATATATATGTAACATCAAAGACTCGACATTTATCTTGTTTCATAGACATATCCTAAGTTATTACCATCTGTGCAGCATTATCTTTAATTTGAGTAAAATAATTTACAGCAATGTAGAATATTTAGCCTATAATATATGCTGTCATATGACAGTGTGAAATGTGGAACATCCACTAAATTCCATCGGGTGTTATTGACACGCGAGCGGATTCGCGCAGCTGTAACCAGCTGTAACCACTTCGCATTCCGACTGTATAGTACTGAAAAGGTTAATATATGTATGACATGATATGATATCCATGAGAGAATATGCGTATTTCTGCCAATATGAATACATACGCGCGTATACCAATAAATTTGGAAAGAGCTCTCTACTCGCCATTATATATAATTGAATTAACTTGCGAAAAATACAAACTATTTTATTAGGGAGCCCATTTGATTTGATATTAATAAATTATGTATATTATTATTAATTCGCTTACTATGGTAAATAAATCGCGATTTACGAAATTGTTTCGATAACGTATTTAAAGGGCGTGAAATTGCAATTGACGCCGTTCGGGTCGCGAGGTCAACCGTAAAAAATTAACTCCGACCGCAAATATTCAGCGCGGTCATCTTTTAGCTAAATTTCGGCGGAAATAACGTGCCGCAGTCCCAAAATATCCCAAAGCCAGCGGTCGCGGTCATTTGTCAGTATTTTTGTGATATTGCGGAACGCGAATGAAACGCAATACTTTCCATCGTAAACGATAAAGTACACAATGTTCAATTCGCGCCCAAAACGATGTATCCCAATTTGCCTACTTCCGCGCTGTGCATTAACACCAGCGGTGGACTAACTAGATTCGCATATCTCAAAATGCATTGCTTGCATGTGTTGTAATTCGATGTGATTAACAGCGCCATGTGTTGGTAACTGTATGAACAAGTCGGCAATATTACCCACCTGAGTCGGAGAACCCAATTCCCCCTTTCCCTCGCTCTCTCTCTCTCTCTCTCTCTCTCTCTCTCTCTCTCTCTCTCTCTCTCTCTCTCTCTCTCTACTCTCTCTCTCTCTCTCTCTCTCTCTCTCTCTCTCTCTCTCTCTCTCTCTCTCTCTCTTCTCTCTCTTCCCCTCCTTCTTCTCTCTCTCTCTCTCTCTCTCTCTCTCTCTCTCTCTCTCTCCATCCTTCTTCCTCCCGCCTGCCTCTCTAGTGTAGATATCGTAGATATTGCGATAGCGTGCATACGAAAATTTAATAACAGTCAAGCTGATTTCCGGAGAGCCGGCGTTTAAGGCTACCTCGGTATTTGCTAGATAATTCGCCCGCGAATAGAACGTAGTCCAGAAGGCCGTACCATTCTAAATCGTGTTATCTGCAAGTTTTGGCGTAACTTGCACACAGAGGATAATTACTGCACGACTACTGACATTTTACAGTATCAAATTACAAGAGCGAGCGGAAAATAAGCTATTGTCCGCGTGAAGTGCGAGGTACGCACGCTAATAAACGTTTCAGCCGATAATTATTAAACATTATTATCTTACCTTTCACTCCTCTCTCGTCCAGTCCGTTGCCTTCGTTTCCATCTGAAACAAATATTTTTAAAAGTGTAAGCAATATCGGCCATCGCAACTGTTTTATTTGCGAATATTTATATAAGCTTGCGGCAAAACGATTAAAATAAATATAGTTGCATTGAAAAATATTGGCATGGTTTCACTATAATCAACAACTCTATCATCGTCCTCCTTATTTTTAGTAAATCTGTACTGTTTGTTTTTCTTGCGTTATGCGCCATACCGATATTTTCGTTCTGCATATTACTCCGAACAAATGGCAATGCGGCCACACCTACGCAGTGTGTAATATAAAAAAATATGCCACCGCATATACTGTTGCGTTCGAGGGAACGTCGATGGGGTCTAAGCGGATTAGTAAATCGGTCCACTTGTGAATTTCGATGAAAGATTGATACACATCTATCGCAGTGTGAATCGGCGAACAATAGCCGCCCTGCGATATTCCCGATATTTTTGCAGGTGCTCCTCGCGGCAAGGTAAACACCGGCGCGGTTCTTAAGAGTACTTAGATCTCGCTTCTCGCAAGTTCCTGCACGTCTCTACGTACCTACCCACAGAACGCTTTCAAGCCAATGTAGATCCTGTTTAACTTTCTTAAGTCTGAAATTATTGTGGAGGATTTTGTAACTATCTACAGCCGGAATTTCTCCGGCTTTGGAGAACTCTTTCAGATATTTTTTAACTTTTCATCTCACGCGCGCGTGACGACAGTATTACTAACAAAAAGAAGAAGAAAAAAAAAGAAGCCGAGCTGGAAGGAAAATTGCCAGCGGAGTCATGTTGCGCTGGAAATGGCGATTTCGCGTGGATTTATGTTTGACGTACGTAAGCGCAATTCTAAACATATTTACATTAGCATAACACCGTTCTCGCTATGACCAAGTAGTTTATAAAGTTATGCAGCAAGAGATGATTAAATGAATGAGTTTAGAATTTCGTAGGTGGCTGTGCAACAACAATCTCCTGTTAACATTCGCGACGCGTGCGACAGCATAATATAACTAAATTCGAGAATTGAAAATCCACGACTAGAAAAAAACATTGCTGCGCGCGCGAATAACAATAAAAAGTTATTTTAAAATTGTACCGTAATATTTTTAACATTCAGCGCAGCACGCTACGCTCACGATTCGCTCGTTTCGCAAATTTCCGTTGATAGAACGTCGATGAATCCTGTTATAATTTGCGACAATTATTAGCTCGATTTGGTAGGAAAAAAGAATAGTGGCAAAAAAAAAGGAGAATAAAAGGGTGAACGAGAACAGCTGGCGCGATCAACGTGGCGTTAAAGCGTTCGCGCGCTTGTACGCATCCGGAATTTGAAAATATGGCGATAATCAGAGCGGCGAGAAAACGCATTTTGCGAACGATGAAAAATCGAAAGAGCCATGATCGCCTCTGGTGACCGCCGTTCCGTCGCACATTATTGCCGAGAATGCATGAACATAGAAGTGTCGGCGTAACTGGCCGGCTGGCTCCACGTGTTCCAGAGTACCTCATTTGAACTCGTCGACGTATACACGTACGCGATCGCATGTACGTGCGAAGCTTGGATATGCCTGCGCCTTTAGAATCGAATGACTCTATAGAACGTACTCCGTATATGGAATTTCCCGAGAAAGTGCCTCACTCTCGTGCTACTTTTAGAAATGCGTTTTTTTCACGCTCACTGCTCATCAAATTTCGATCCTTGACACCTATGATATAGTCCTGAACGACGATTTCATATACATCAAAATTTTTGCCTAGCAAATCTGTATACGCTTTAGTATTTCAAGTCTATCGATGCGCAACAATCTTTATTAAAATTTCTCGCTCTTTCCTTCCTCTGTATTGTAAATAACCTTTTTTCTAATCTCCTTTTTCAGCTTTGTCCTTTCTTGTTCTTTGTTCAGTTTTAATTAAAAAAGACATACGCGTTTCGCCCCCTGGGATCCCTTTGTTACTGGCTCTTTTAGGAGCTCCGCCTCTCAGTTCTAAGCTCGTATCACCTGCCGGTGAGCATTCCCCGTAGGCAATTACGAGAAATAATTGCGCAATCAATGGATTAACTGGATATCGTGCGACAAACATATTTGTTTGCTGAGTGCGTTTCACAGTCGCGCGCTGCATTCAGCGAATTATCGGGCGCGCGCTATTCGTTTTACGGAAATTCTACATTTATCGTTTTATATCGTGTTTTTTTTTCATATTTTTTTTCCGGAATTCGATATCGGAAATGAAATTATTGTCTCGGAAGGAAGGGACGGTGGCGACGGCGGTTGCTTACATAAACTGCAGGCCGCGCCGCCGGCATGCATCACAAGCCCGACGGATCCTCGCGCGCGGCGTCCAGGAGTTGGAGTTTCGCCATTTAATATACTCCCCCGCGATAAATTTTGTCGTCTAGCAAAAAGTCCACGGCAGATATATATCCGCGCGCATTAAGTAACGCGAGATTCGTAGCGGGAAGAAGGCGGGCGAAATGATAAGCGAGAGGAAGCGTTTATCCGCCGCGAGTTCACTTAACAGATGGACAACGCGTGCTGGTACTTTCGTCGGTTGCCCACCGAGGATACGTAGTTTGCCTCTCTGATTGTCGACTATCAGTGAGTACGCCGCGCAATTAAACACTTTTATTAATAGCCCATTCGTCCTACCGCGCGCTGTCGTGAACAATATATCTCCAGGGTCCTCATTAACCTCATTTCCATGGGCGGAACTAATTCGAGGGGCCTACGACGGAACGGTCTTTCGGGGCCTCTGCTAAAATCCACGGCCGCTCTAAACTATTGTTTGTGAGGAAATATATAACATGTTATACGCGCAAGTACAGATATATAAATTCATGACTTTGAATTTGACATAAGTCCGTAATGCATACTAGGAAACCGAGATAGCTGATGAAATATGTTACAAGAAGCCAATACAAGAAGCTAAACCCATAATGTACCTATATGAAAACAACGCAAGCTCAGTGTTTATAGCGTGAAGTGTTTCTATTTAGATACTATTTCATTCGGAAATTACATTTATCCTTTCAAAAGAAATCTATTTTTGCTAATACCTAAATAATTTTAATTCTTTGATTTTTTATTTTTAATATCGTGTACCAAAGCAAAAAATAATTGAAAATAATTCGAACTCACGTATTACTTAATTTATTTATTGCGCTTTTTTGCATTTGCACATGATTTTTCATACGTAAAAATTGTTGTTATATGTGAGATATACAATAAATTATTATATATTTAATATTGTAGATTATTTACGGCATTTTGTCAGATAAATTATTATAGACTATTATAGCGCGTATATTTTGATTGAATATGTTATTATCTTATTTTTTCCAGTGTAATACACGTATATAATACACCTCTACTCTCTGCATTAATATTTACCATCATTTATTTATACTCCACTCTATTTATTTTTTCATAATATCACAAATTTGTCGCATTTAAATAATAAATAATTGTAAATTAAAAAATCCATTTGTCAATTGCAAAAAAGACTATTTCATACTTGAAATTATGAATTAAAATTATATATAAAATAAATATATAAAAAATCTGTTTATTGTATAATTAATAAGGAGTATAATTTTTATAAAAATTATATTTCTTTATTTTTATTTGAATATGCTTCTTCTATAGCAAAATATTAATTCCAGTGCATTGTACAATCCAATAAAGCATACAATAAAATAAAAAAATATTTTGTACTATTTAATTTATAAAATGGATTTAAAGTTAATTTGATTATCATAATATAATAATATCAAAATATTAAAAATAAATAATTATTGTAATGCAATATTAAAATTTACTTACCAGTTGATGTGTCTCGCTGTTGGGATTTTCACCACCATTATTCCAAACACACCACTGTGTTCTGTTCTTCAAATTTGTTGACTCCATTATTGTTCCAAATGCACTATTTATGCAGCACTAATTATTATTTATCTACGATATAACTGGTCAATTTTTATGATATTTCCGATTTTTACAAGCGTGATACACGTGATTTTAACGAGAAGTACAATGCTTCTGGAACAAGCAATTACAATGACAGAATAATGAACTCGCCCACTAAAAAATTTGATATCGCGACAATTTTTATGTGAAGCAGTATTCCGAATCGAACAATGCCAAGCACGGATATTATCGAAAGAAGTATTGTTACTTGTTTATATCACCTGATCGACCGATAACGACTCGATACTTTAGACGCGTGATTACGTGTCCTTGAACAACAAATAAATACAACAATATACGACGCGATCGTTCCTTCCTTACTCGACACTTCCGACATTTTGCAAATAACGTTTAACGAATCGGAAAAACGAAGATAACTTCGCACTGATGCTCGATGACTAGATGAGCATTGACTGTTGCGACGTCAGACGAGAAAAATGCGCACGAAATACGTAACGCTATTAGCGACTATTTGTATGTCGGTAATCATATTGCACTTATCCACGGTACTTAGAACTACACATAATGCAAAAAAATCACGTGGCCGAGATCACGTGAGTCAGATGACAAATCTAAAATTGTTGCTCAGTTCGCGTCGAGCTTCGCTAGTATTCAGTTTATTTTGCGTTTTCGCGGCTGTTTATTCATTTCGAGCGAATTCTGCGAACAAACGAGAGTCGGGAGTATCAAGTCTAGAGACGAGCGGTCATATCGATGTTAATCAGTTCAGGTAATCATGTCCAATGTGTCTTTCGATAATTGTAACGATGCTTCGCGTTTCCTTCAATCGCCACTCGCCATAAAATGTCGACTCATCAACTTATTCTCTTTCTAGTGCGTTCGTTTGGCGTACATATATCGCAGTATTTGCTCATCCTACAAGCATTACGAGTGCCATCCAACATCTGCAACATCGAAATACAAGAAGTGCGGAAAGAAGTATCAAGGGACATGGATTCGAAGAAGGCGATCTCGCTTGTTTACAATGTTCCCGAACGTACCTGCGTCCGCCATGATCGCTAAACGCCGTTGCGTGCGCAGTTCACGCTGGTCGCAAGTATATGTTGTACGTAACCTAACAAAGTCGGTAGTGTCGAGTGAATCTGTGAGCGATTGTTTTAGAGTGTGATCTCTTCGGTCGCGATCGGTTTTCAATGTTCACCATCGACATACACGTTAGTCGAAAACGCGTTACATCTAACAAATCGAGAGTGCCGAATGAATCTAGAATTCGCGATCAATGTGCAATCGATCGCATTTCATCGGATCGCCGTCCATCGGGAAAAATTTTGTTTACGTATACGCGTGTTCCGTATTATTCGCGAGTGTGGTTGCGTGTCGGGTGTACCGAATGAATCTACGGTTGATGTGTCGGTTGCATTCCGTCAGACCGCTATCCGTCGGAAAATTCGTATACGGATGCATATTATACACAAGTGTAATCGCGTATCGGGAGTGTTGAATAAATCTACGGGTGATAATTTTAGTATGTCGATTAATCGGCTTTGGTCGCGATCAGATTCTAGTATTTGCAACTGATATTGATCACCCGTTCGTCGGATCGATATTTGTCGGTAGAATAACAAATGGATGTCGCATTATTCCGCGTATTCGCGTATTCGCGTGATCGGAAACGCGTGTGTATTGTGAGTGCATCGAGAAAGAGCATTGAGAAACATGAAGGAATCTCCTGGAGAGAAGTGCTGCTGCTGTTTGCTGCGATTTTCGAGAGACGGTGAGTGTTCATTTGCTGATTATTTCTTCGATTGAAGCGTTGGCTCGTTGCATTCTAAAATAAATTACTTTTTAGAAAATGGAAAAATATTTAAAAATGATCAAACTGAATAAAATTACAATTATCATGATTTACATGTATTCGATATCTACTCATGAAATTTATGGTTGTAGAATTTTTTATTTTAGGCTAATATTTTAGCTACATTAAATACAAACACAAAAATTGAATAATAAATGTAAAAGAAATTTGTTGACACGTTAATTCAATTTAATATGTCAATTGCCGATGCTTTCTTTGAAAGTTAAAGCAAATATTAAGATTGCAACATGATGATTGCCAATGCTTTCTTTATTATAGTTTGCACAAATTTTAAAAATATATGGATATAAATAATCGACATACATTGAGTATGTGTATCATATAATGTTATATGTGTTTATAAACATGACGATATTCCATGTTAAATAAATTTTCCAATTGTTTATAAACATTATGACTTTGTAGCAAATTAAATATTTAGAATGCACAAACAGACCATAGAGTAGAAACAAACAGAATCAATCTTGATTTATTAACCGGTTACTAAAATGTTTGGCATTATAACGTTAAAAATCATGACAAATATGAAAAATAACATAAAATTTTCACAAACAAATAACTTTTTTGTTTGATCGCTCTGCTTATTAAATTGCATTTATTATAGCAGATTTTATATATATATTTATTTAACTTTGTATAGTAGTTGTCAAATATAATAATATATAATATATATAATATTACGGATATCACGGTATTAACTTGGCCGTTTTTAACAAAGATCAATAGAATATTTATAATATAGTAAAAACTTATGATACATAAATTAAATATTATCTTGTTAAGTTTGGTGTGAATTTCTTTGCACGACTCGCACGATATTTCTACACTAAAGAAAACTTGCATTTTTATGTCATTAAGATAATAAAAAATATTAAAATACTGGAAATTTCTGAGAAAAAGCAAATATTGAATTATTTTGAACTTTTTGTTGTAAAAATGTTTGTATTGTAAAAATTTAATTAAGTTGTGATAAATGTACACAAAAATTCGTAAAGATAACTCATGGAATACAATTTTGGAAAATAAAATCGTATCAATGACCACGTACGGTCACGTACGTGATGGCATTTAGCGGTTTTGCGTTGTAGCTGTATCGCGGCAAATAAACGTGATTACGTGCGTGCTTGAATATGTTACGGTAACCGAAATGGATAAATCAATCCCTATGTATACGCATTTAATGCGGATATAACAATGCAACAGTCACTAGTGCACTGTAGATGACATTAGAACAATAATTTCCAGCCGTTTATTCATGACACGTATTTAAAATTTTTTTCTAATAGCATCTATTTTAATTTTCTACGTCAATGTTTTATCAATAATAAAAAAAAATATATATATTTTTTTTTAAATAATTATTTTTTAAAATAATTTTCACAATCGTTTTTGATGACACAATATACGCGTATTTATTATATACATACTTTTTAATTGTATAAATATTCCAATTATAATATTACAGTCTTTTGTTATGTTAAACACTGTTTTTTTTCACTTTGTTATAAAAAACATTTTAAAAAGATATTAATATTATTATAATTTTTTATTACAGCATAAAAATGATGCGACTATTAAATGCAATGCATTATTTCTTCTATATCCATCTTCTTATTGCGTCTATTTTTTAATTAATTCTTTGAATTTTCCACTCATCCTATATAATCTTTCTAGTAGCATGATTGAAACGCATCATGCTTACAAAAACATAAATTAGTATGAAATAATTAAAAACTTAATTGAAAACTGAACTTCAAAGCTTTGATATTTCTAAATAATAATTTCTACATTAGTTTTTTTTTATTATATATCCATCTTCTTTCAATATTTAATATTGTAATTGGAATATTTATACAATTTTTAATGTATTTATTGCACGTATTGTATATAAAACTTTCTATTCTTTATCTTTTTAAATCTTTTTTTCTGTTTTAAACAATTTTGCTATTTAAAATTTTAAATATGCTGTTTTGAATAAGATTACAGGCAAAATAATATTTGCTAATCATGGTAATGTGTGATAAATGGTTAGCCAGGAGTATTGGTGTCCATTCGCTCTCCAATGTCTGTCTTTGTATTCCCTATCATACGATCTCAATTCCCAATCACGTACACACTCTCGTTGTTTTTCCTAAATCCTATCGTTCCTTTGATGCACACCGCGTTTGCTTTCATATGCCACATTCGCTCGAACCAATCATACCGTACAAACAATCATGTATCAAACATTCTCACATTCTCTCATTCTCTCACTCTCTCATTCATTCTCTTATACGTCCATATTTTATAATCCTACATTAATTCAAAGATATTTTATTTATATTGATCACATTCAGCTTTGAGTTGCTTAATCATGCTCATATATCATTCATATTTTGCCTTTCATGTATTTTATGCTTTTTATTGAATATTGAGATTTTGTTCGTGCACCTGTTTGTCCGAAGTTGAACCTTCACTAATGTTATTCTCATTTACACACAATCTCTTTTGTCATGCATTTCGCCAGTCAAGATCCGTCAGAGATGATGCGTTTGAATTTAATTTAACGCCATTTCCTGAGTCTCTGAGTTCTCTGAACTCCTTGCTTTTGTCAAAATATATACTTCTGCGTGTGCGAGATAGCGTTGCGTCTGCTTTATTAAAATATTCTATATTATTCTGATAAAAGTTAGATTATAGGTTCTATTGTGGACAGCAAACCGCTAGCCACTCAATCCATTCAGCATTGCTTGCATTTTTCATTAAAACATTTCATTCTCGCGTCATACAGATCTCGTTTTTCGACTGTTCTGTCATCGAATTCGATTGTGACATTCATTATGATTTTACGACTCTACCGTACATGTGTGACACTTTGAGAACATACGAAATCTCGCACTGATCAATATTTAATTGTCACGATCAATGTTTAATTGTCACGTTTCACGCTCGATTTCACACACGGACATTGATGCGATTTTATTTTTCAAAAACATATTCCATGAGCTATCTTCACGAATTTTTGTTTAAATTTATCGCGCATTTGATTAAATTTTTATAATGTAAAACCAAAAAATTCAAACTATTTAAATCTTTTCTTTTTCTCAGAAATTTTCAATATTTTAATATTTTCTACAGTCTTAATGTGACATATAAAAATGCCAGTCCCTTTAGTGTAGAAATATCGTGCGTCGTGCAAAGAGGTTCACACCGAACCTGACAAGATAATATTCAATTTACGTACCGTAAGTTTTCGATTCTGATAGATCGTTCACTTTGAAACATGGGCTCCCATCGTCCATCTGCTCGGCGCGATCTCGCTTGCGTGCTCGATAACCGCAGACACCGCTGCTCGAGACACGCACTTCCTCGTACAGACGACGGACGGACGGACGAACACCCTGTAAATCGGCTTGCGCAATGTAGGAAGCTACTTAGCCCACCACCACTTCACGAGCGTTCATTATCCGGCCGCATAATGATATGGCACTTATACGTGCGTGCGGCGGCAGCTTGCGACCGCGCTCCAGCCGTTTCAATAGATGCGAATCGGCCGGATTGTGGAGCGGGCGGGAAGAATCCCGGGCGGAACCGGGGAGGGGGGGATTCGGAGGGAAAACAGAGACGTATCCCTTTTGTCCCTCGACGTCTTTGCGACCGGCGACATGTCAAACGATTCTACCCCTCCCACACGCCATTCTTAGAATATAAACAAAGAGACGACTACACAGAGAGCTAGAAGCAAGTACAAATGTCCCCTCCCAACCCGTCGTTCCTTCATCCGGGCCTTCACGCCGCGATTTACGGCGTTCCTTATTCTGCATGATCCACAACCGTATCGAGCGTCTTCCTCCTTCTCTCGGAATCTCGCTTTTCCTCTCTCGCTCTCGTACTCTCCGTACTTCTCGCCCTACCGCGCTTTCGGTCTTCCATTCCCACCTCTTTCTGCCCCCTCGCATCGCCTTCTCCTTCTCTTTTTCCCTTTCTATCTTTCTCGCCCTTTGGCCAGCTTCTTTGCATTGTCAGAACGAGAGCCTTCGGCAAGATCTTAATTCCTCTTTGCCAGCTCCATTCCCGGATTTCTCGAGCGTGAAATCGGCGCCGCACTGTGCCGCGCGCACCCGCGCCCAGTCCGCGTTTCCCAGCGAGGAGCCCGCGACAATTCGTAAGAATAAGACCGTGTCCCATTATCGGATCAAGATATTATCATAATTGCCCAGGACTCTGGTCGCTTTCAGAGCAGTAAGAAACTGCCCCGAGGAATGAAAATTAAAGCAAATACGAAATTAAGATTGCAAAATAATGACTACCGGTGCTTCTTCGCTCCATTATAATACAAATTTTAAAAATATATACGGAGCACAATTCTGAGACATGTGTATGATATAGAGAATTAAGTGCATTTTTAAATTATAATTTTGTAATTAATTAAATATTTAGAATGCAAACAGATTATAGAGTGTAAATTGACAAAATCAAACTTGATTTATTATCCGATTATTAAAATATTCGTTATTATAACTTTAAAAGTCATGACAAATATGAATAATAATATAAAATTTCTACAAATAAAAAACTTTTATTTGATCGCTCTGCTCGTTAAATTGCGTTTATTATATAGCAGATTTTATATATATATTTGTTTAATTTTATAATAATCGTTGTAAAATATAATGAAGTAATATGATATCACGGCATCAACTTGACCATTTTGATCAATAGAATATTCATAATATACTAAAATTCAAATCCGCGTTAGTCATACTTACTAAATTTCTGCAAAAATAAGGTAGTCATAATATCTTTAGATTTTAGCTACCGTAAGAGTCTTAGCTTAAGAAGATTTCAAGGAAAAAAAAGGGATAGTAAGTAATAAAGATAACAGGTTTTTTGCGATGCCATCGAGGAACATCGAATGA